GCCCTCGAGCCCCGGCGCGCGGGACGAGGGAGGCAGACACGGCGCGAGGCGGCGCCATTTTGTGCCCGCGGAGGGAGCAGGGTGGGGGTGTCCCTGCGCCTGTGAGGCCTTGTCCCTGGTGTTTCTGAGGCCTGTGCTCTGCCTCACCTCACCTCACCGCTGGGGTTGGCCCCGACTCCTGTGCTGCTGGGCCTGGCTGTTAAGAGGTCCCGAGCCAGAGCTTTAGAGCCCTTCTGCTTTCAGAGCTCATGGGTGTTATGCCTTGGGCTTGCTGCAGTTTTTGAAGACTTGGAAGTGTTGAAGTGCTTCTCGCTAGCAGAGAGGGCTGGTGATGCTCCTGTGGAAGGGAGCGGTCAGCTCTGCTGTGACAGTGGTAGGTGGGGAGGTGATGTTTGGCTTTTCCCAAATCCAGTGAAATGTCAAGCTGCTAATCTAATATGTAAGTTTTGGCCTACTCAATGATGTGATGTGAAAAACAGGTTATTTGTGGAATGAAAGGGTGAGGCTGGGATGTGTGGTAATGAGAGGGCGGCCCAGGGTTCATACAAGCCCTGGGGCCTTCTATGTAAACTAAGGCACTCTCATTGCGAAAGGTAAAGGAACACAGATCTCTGCCTTCAGCAGTCACATACTCTAAATATGAGCAAAGTCAAGTATTGTTCAGTGTTTGCTGAGATCTGCATTAGTCCATCTGTTTTCATTAATAATCGAGGCCCTCTCCTGTGACAGTTCTTTAGCATTAATGTCTGCTACCAAGGAAAATACAAGCTGACCAGATCTTGGAGTCCAAGCCAAGAAGAAACCTTATGTAGTTGCTACCGGAAAGCGGCAAATAATTCATTCTCTAAAACTTCAGTTTGGAGCTTTAGAAAGCGGGCATTCTTTATTGCCGCGCTGGATGCACAGGGGGTAGCTCCACCCAAATGTGTGTACCGAAAAGACACAGGTATTTATGCTATGTTAATATACATATTCATTACATTCCTGAAAAATGCTTCACATTTTTTCCGATAACTCATTAGCATATGTTAATGGCCTTCATGCATGTCTGTTGGTGGCACCAGGTAGTTGTTGGGGGTCTTCAGATGAAGGCTTGTACTCTTCATCACGGCATCTGCTGGTCGAGCTTTGCTTCTGTGCAAACTCAGTTCTAAGATCACCTATACCATGTCCTTCAAGGTTGCTTCATTACAGGCTTATGGTCACTTTGTAACCTCCTTATCTTCATGGACCTGCATGTCTGCTCTCCCAAGGCCGAGCTGTCTAAGTGGGATTATTCAGGAGTCTCTTATTGTACAACCTTCCCAGTTATTCAAAAAGAACCAAGATGTGCTTTGGTTTTAATTAATCTGTTGTGCAATGATTCTGAGACCTAAAGTGATAACTTTTATCTACATTTGCTACTTTCACAAGTATCACAGTGATAGATAGAAAGTCTGTTTTCATTAGACACGATGACTTTAAGACCTGCCCAGCCTCCACTATCATAAGAGGCATGAAGAGTAAAATCTGTCAGTCAATTAGCATAGCATTAATTTTTGTGACTGTCAGCTCCAGTCACAAAAACAGCTGAGCTGTAGCAGCAGAAAAACACTTTGTCTAACCTGAGGCCTGTGTGTGTCCCAGCTGTCAAGAAATGAAGAACTGAAATGGAAGCTCTCATGAATGTCTCCTGCTGCTTAATGTCCTTATTTCCTACACTTTGTATTCGCTTGCTTTTCTTGTCTTCTCTCTAGCATTCTCCGTTCCTAAGCCAAGCGTGAAGGCTTTCTGCCATTTCTTCCACAGAGCGAATGTCATTCTTCCACCTCACAGAGTCTCTGCTTTATTTCAAGTCTGCTGAAAAATGTTTTTATTTTCTTTACGTATTTCTTTTTGCTATTATTTGCTTCTCCAATTGCATTATTTAACTCTGTCTGCACAGAGGGTATAGGAGCTTTTTCTGCATTCCTGACTCACCTAAATCCATGTTAAACTCAATGGATGTTTTGAGTGTGCAAGGATGGGGCTAAAAATTGTGTCCTACATTCTGCACTTCTAAAGTCTCCTCAAGTGGCATCACCTACAATTAAAACTTCAAAGCTGACAAGCAGCAAATACAGCACAGATATTTATAGGATTTCTCTGTCAGATGCCAACACTAGCTGTCTGTCTATACGAAAATGTGGTAACCAGTTGAGCAATTGGATAGTTATAAAGTGGTGTTTTTCTCTAAATAGACATATAGTGAAAAAAACCTTCCAGCTAGTCAGTTTACCGTGGCTCCTCTTGAATTTTAATGAATATATATGCATATAACTATTTTTTTCTGTGCTTTAAAGAGCTAGGTTAAGGCTTGTTTTGTAGCTGAGATTTTGCTTACTAGCCTCATCTCTTCTTCAAAACAAGACCGTAATTCACGTTTCTGAACAAGACCAGAAGGCAAGCTTTCATGCTTTAAGACTGCATAGGACCTGCTTAGAGGTCATAAGTGATGTAGAAGTTTCCCAGTGAACCTCAGCATGGCACTGAATTTCATTGCTGAAAAACTGATCTGTAGAGCGAGTTCAGGTTGTGAAGCTGTCTTTTCATGGCTGTTTTTTTTCAAAGATGAAATGCATATGAAACCCTTGTGAACTCTGTACATGGTAGGATGGAGCTCACAGAGTCATTTTTATTGCCAGTCCCCAGACCTTTGCTTCAACTTGCTGTGGAGGAAACAATATCAAAACTCCTTGACTGACTAGATGCGAGCTCATCAAAGCTTTTGCTCTCCACATGCACTGTACAAATACACTATGCAGTAGTCCTTAGCACAATTAACCAATTAACACTTTAACAGGTAGAATTTTCCTGTGTAGATGTGTCCGTTAGTATTTGTGTATCTCTCTATATCAGAAAGTAATTGTACTGAACTGAATGATATTTTATATATGTATGAAATTATTCACACAAGCAAATAAAAGTAATGAAAAACAGTTAAACTGTAAACATAAAAAATATTTTTGTGTATATTCAGGTGGAAACAATTTGGTACTGAGGTCTTCTTACTACCAATTTTGATCATCACAATTATAAAGTTGTCAGTTAAATGTACAGTCTTCAGCTTCAAATGAAAAACACTTACTCTAAAATATTTGTCTTTTATATAAATCCAAGCAAAACCGAAGTATTAATTGATGGGTTTGTCACTGAAGTTTCAGTGTAATTCACTTCTCACTAGTATTGGGCTAAAATCTTGGCAGAAACAGTGCACTCCATCAGCCTTCTGCAAGTCAGAAACTGGATTTAATGCCACTTAGACTGTTTGGCCAGTTGAAATCTCAGAAGTTCACACTCAAAAGACTAGGCAACATTTCTTATAAATATCAAGATTTATCCAAATCTTGTTCACTAGAATATTCTGTCTTGATCCACTGAGCGTATTGTATTGTGTACTAACTGTCCCTTGCCCCACCTTGCCCCGCTGACATACCACATAGTAGAAACTATTTAAGAATTTGTTAATAGGTAGTAACTATTACTGCTTATTATCTTTGTTGATGTAAAAAAAAAAAGTAGATTCAAAATCCAGAAGATGAAGTTACTCAACCAAGCAGAAGTTTACTGCAAAACTGTTCCTCTAAGTGTTGTCAGAAATTTCAGTACAGTCCTTTACAAAACCTGCGTGAAGAGGTTGTAAGTAAGAGTGGTCTTTGCTTGCTATTTTACAGTATTTTAATGACTGTCAGTAACAGCCATCAGTCAAAAGACTATTGGATCCCTTCCTGCTAAAGAACTGATGTTGGCATCCCAGATGTCCAGTTTGTTGGTGCCATTTATTCAGCACTGGCATTCCTTGGAATCACTTAGTGCTGCCAATCTGATGCTGGCTTGCACCAGTGCGGAGTACCTTGCTGGCCCAGGACGCTAGTCAACCCAGAGTTCAGTGCCTTAGCTATTTTGATTTTTCTCTGGGGTAAGGTAAATACAGACAAGATACTGTGAGTTAAGGAACCAGGTGTACAAACATTCAGATGAAATATGTTTTAGGAACTTCTGATTTTGAGGGCCTTCATATGAAGT